GAACGGTAGTGAAGAAGGCGAAAGAAAGAGATGGCGTCCAGCGGCGGTTTTTAACTGACAACAGGAAAGCGAATCGGCAGGCCATGATTACTTATTTGTGGAGATCGTGCCCAAGTGTCGTGCGGAACCCAAGGAACGGCCCGGATCCCCGCTGGAGCGTCCACGTGGACTTTGCAAACTCCCCACTCCTCCGCTTGGCCCAGCTGAGGACTGAGGAGTTGGGGGGCTTATGATGGGCCGATATCCAGCGGACGGCCCAAATGAACCATTTAAACAGCTTCGGGTCAAGCACCTGTGAAATACTCAAGCTGGGCCGGCCCAAGGAGCTGGGCCTAGTTAACCTCAGGCCAAGCGCAGCTGGCAGAGTCAGTCCGGAGAAGGAGACGGAGCTGATTGGCCGTTACGGAGCCGGGAAAAGGGGATCGCGCCCTTGGCGGGCTAGACTCCATCGGTTATGCTTCACCTTAATTGTTTAGAGCTCATGTATAAATAGAGGGGACCCGAAAGGGAAGAACTCAAGCTAAATCAAGCTAGTAATACACATCCAATTCTCGAATTCTTGTTCTTAATTTTGTTCTTACGATCCGCTCTGTAAACCGGATCATTTGGTAGACTTATTGTCCATCACCAAGTTAAATACTTTAGTCCGAAAGGGGCTGCAGACCTGGACGGGTTAGGGTGTTACACCCCCCCCCCTCTGTTGTTGCCATGGTATTGGTTTCCTCCAGTTCTTCCACTGCTTCTATGCTGGGCAGTGGCCTTGTCCTTTCCCTCTTTGTGTGGTGGTTCCTTGAGAAGGGTTTCTTTGATAGGGACAGAGGTAAGTTTACCAGACCCTGTTCCCATAAGCGTGTCCCCATCATTAGGATCCTTAACAGCAAAAGAGGGTGTAAGATCATCAACACTAACTATGTCTACAGGAACTTCTTCATCCAAATGTTTCTTTCCATTGTCCTCATGAGCTACCACCTTGTCCTTAGCATTAGGGACAGTAGGGGCAGGCTCCTTGAAAGCTTCCTTAGGGTGGGGAGTCTTGCTTGTGTGAGGGGGTTTTTTGTTTTCTTTAGCTCTGGCTTCAGCTTGCCTGGCCAGTTTCAGAGCTTCAAGTGTAGCAATCTCCTCCAGTCTCTGTTTCTCCATGAATTTCCTTTTATGGATTTCATGGAGGGCTTTACAATTAAAGGGGTTGTGTCCAAAAGCCTCACAGTGGTAGCAGTAGCAGGGCATATCCTCATACTCAATTTTTTGAATGTATTCCCCACCATTGTAAGTAACCTTGACACTCACAGGAGGCTTAACCATAAGATCCATGTCTATCATAACCCTGCAGAAGTTAACCCTCCTGTAGTCCCCATCAGGATTAGGTTCCATTGAGGTGTCATACACAGATGCAGCAGTGTGGGTAACTCCATCAGAGTATAGAGGTGTCCCAAGAAAAGAGGCAATGTGTGAGAGCCCCAGTGGAGAACAAAAACCCATAGGGACATCTAAGAGTTTAACCCAGACAGGCATGGTTGCAAAGGACTTGCAGTTCCACATGAAATCTTTCTCAGAAATTTTTAGTAACAATTTCTTGTTACCAATGGAGAGTTCTTCAGCTTTCATAGTAAGAACTGTTTGTCTATGCTCTTTCCTCCAGAAGTTGAGGACAATCCATCCTTTTCTATGTGGCAAAATCTCACAGGGAATACTCCATTGATCCACCATTTTTTGGATGGCCTTAAGTCTTGGGAATGTTCCAGAGAAACATCCCACAAGGCAGTAGCCCCATAACTGTTCAGTTGGAAGGATTGCTTCATCAGGGATAAACACCTCTTCAGTGCTGTTAAGCTCAACCTTGAATAATTGCATCCCTTGGGTAGCTTTCCTATTGTTTTTCAGAAGTTCAGCATAGGTTTTCTTCTGGACTGGCTCAGGCCTTTTCTCAAACACCTTGGGGGTGTTCTTATTTTTTTCCAATTCTTTCTCAACTCCCTCTTCATCCACAGAGGCCATATCAGAACCAGAGGAGGTACCATTCCCATCCTCAACAGCAACATTCTCAGCTTCAATAATGTCATTCACAGACTGATTATCATCGCTAGACATACTATCCGAGTTCTCAAGAGTATCCATAGTGGCCTCATCATCCACCTTCAACTCCGGAAGCTTCTTCTTCTTCGGAGGTGTAGGTTCCTTGCTCCTAGTCTTCTTCCCCATAGCTACGTATGAACATCAAGAGAAGGAAGCCATACTTACCTTGGAAGAATCTGAACAGAGATGAAGAAGTCCTAGCAGCGTTGACTTCCAACCACAACGAAATTGGAAGAAGCCACCAATGAGGAGAGTGGCCTTGGAGAGGAGAACACGAATCTGGCCTTGGAAGAGGACGAAACCACCGGAAGAACGACGAAAATGAACGGCAATGGTGACGAGCTACAGTAGCTCAATCGCCAGAGAGAAGTCTCGACCGAACATTATTGAGAGCTCTTTTTTAATCCTAGTTCTCAAACACTACGTTATGGTGTCATTGAGAACTTGAATTTGTATTTCAGATCAGCATTTGATCCAGATTAATTATTTGGAAACGCAAAGAATTTAGATTTTGATTTAGACCTAATTAAAAACAAAGTCAATTGTAAATCCATATTTCTCCACATGTCATTTACAAATTTAATACATATCAATCCACTTCCATTACCGTATTTGGCGTTTTCAAAATTCAAATTTTAGAATTGAAATTTTATAATTTCTCAAACAATATTTGAAATTTGAAATTATAAGATTTCAAATGTTGAAATTGAAATCTAAAATTTCAAATGAATTTTAATTTTCAAACACTACCTTATGAAACTCTTTGTTTCAAAATGGGAACCGATAAATTGTTTATTTAATGATTTGTCTGTTCCACGATTGAGTTGAAGTATAGAATCACATGGTCATGGAGTGAGGAGGGTTATTTTGATTCTACGGAGTATGCTCCCACATGTATTAAGCTTTTTTTAAGTGGTATTTGATGTTCTTAAATACTAGCCGTAATAATTATCACATGTTGCGATGGGATCCGGTATGGTATGGTCATGTGTAAATATAGTTATGTTTAAATATTTATAATCTGATCTATATCTAATTTAATTTGACTTAATTCCAATAAGAAAATGTAATACAGCGTAAGTAGTAAGAAAAAATTGAAGAGAACATGATCGTAATACTCCGTAGTATGCAGTAAAATTTTACGGAGTATAAATAACAGACCCTTTTTGGTTCTTTATTTAAAAAAACCCACCTAAAATGATATACTCATTCGCCCTAAAATTATCATCCCAATTTGATTTTTTTTGGATCACTTAGAAAACATATTATAAAAAATTGGCCCGGTCCTAGTGACACCGGAGAACGGTGCCACTCCGGTGCCACAGCGTTTTTGGGGCACCTCTGGTGCTCCGTTCATAAAATTGATGGTTCCAACTCCCTCTACCCGCACCCCTGCACCCCCACCCCCACCCCGCCGTAAACCCCAGGTTGGGGTGGGAGTGCAAGGGTGCGGGTAGGGTGGGGTATTTAGGAAGTAGATTAGGGGGGGTAAGAACCGTCAATTTTACGAACGGAGCACCGGAGGTTCCCCAAAAACGCAGTGGCACCGTTTTCCGGTGTCACTAGAACCCCACTGATAAAAAATACATACGAGTAATTAGTTACTACCTCCGTCCCAATTTTAATCGTCTATTTCGTTTACGATGTTTGACTGAAATTATTTTTCAAATCATTTTATATATAAAAATGGTGTAAAATTAAAGAATAAAATTATATACTTAAAAACTACTCCCTCGATCACCCATAGATCTTTCTAGACACTATTTACATGGTCAAACTTAACTCATTTTGTTTGTTTTTTTTAGTTTTTACTACTAATTTCATAAAATAATATAATCTTGTCACCACTACTTTTGTAAAACTTTTCATGTACTTTTTTACAACATAAATTTTATTTTTAAATTTCACACCTACAATTAAATAAATTTAATTGAAAATAAAATCAATCAAATCTCGTAACGCGTAATGAGAAGATCTTTGGTGGACGGAGAGAGTACATCAAAAGACTTACAAAATTAGTGGTCCATTGAATATATTATTTTATCAAATGGGCAACAAAAATAGAGAAACAAAGTAATTGAAGTTTTACTCTGTGAATAGCAAACAGATAAATTAATTTGGGACGGAAGGAATATAATGTAGTCTGTAAATATATATATATATATATATATATATATATATACACACACACACACATACATATATGTGTGTGTGTGTGTGTGTGTGTGTGTGTGTGTGTGTGTGTGTGTGTGTGTAGGTAGCAACGACTGTTCAACCGACCAATTCGCATCTATGATTAAAGGGAACAGATGGAGAGACAGAACATGGCTGCTAGTCCAATAAATTTTTTTTAATAAGGCAAATGCAATGTTTGTGAAAGTGTTCATTTGCATGCAACACCCTCATCTTTCTTTAATTGCATCTGTGATCCTATTTAGAGGTTCCCTAAATCAACCATCAAGATATAACTCATCCTATGTTAGAGTCTCACATTATGGTAATTGAGAAAGAAGTATATTTTACAATAACATCTTTAGTTAAACTAGTTTGTCAAGTAAATTCAACATTTTAGCATGGTTTGGCTCCAATGTCTTATGACTTAGGGCTTGTTCTCTTCAATTATATGATTGTTTCTCATCTGATTCAATTAATTTCTAATCTGATAATAATTGATTGTAGTTATATTTAAAGCAATTTTTGATCTGATCTGATTCCAATAAGAATAGGTAATAAGTAAAAAGAATAAGTTGAAGAGAACAAGCTCTTAGTTTGAGTCGCTCATTCCTACCAGATCATAAAATCCATCCACTGTAACTAATAGAGTTTACTATAAAGGGGCATGAAAAGTTAATCTTTTAGCAGCACCATTTAAACAAAAAAAAAGAAGAGAACATTACACTTTGAGGTAGTAGTGATGGAATCAGAAGAGGCTTCTTTATCAGCGCCTTCAACGCCGACGACACCAGCCACTCCCGGTGCTCCACTGTTCACGAGGTTCAAGCGCGAAAAGGGCACTGGCGGGAATGTCAATAAAAACTCCTTTCTCAAGAGCTGCAAGTGCTTCAATGTCAAAGGATGGGGTTTAGAGGAGGGAAGCTTGCCTTCTGTCTCATGCACATTGCCCTCTCCTCCTGTGTCTCTAGCAAGAAAGGCAAGACAAATAATCACATGAAATTTACCACTAGATAGCAAGTGTGATGTGGGTTTTCTGTTTTCTTTTTCTTTTTTTGTTTGTTCGTAACAGGTTGGAGCGGAGTTCATAGGGACAATGATACTAATATTTGCAGGAACCGCAACAGCCATTGTCAATGAAGAAAGGAAAGGAAGTGAAGGGTTGGTAGGACTCGCTGGATCGACCGGTCTTGCTGTTATGATTATCATTCTTTCCACTGGACACATCTCTGGGGCTCATCTCAATCCAGCTGTCACTCTTGCCTTTGCTGCTCTAAAACACTTTCCCTGGAGACATGTAATAAATGTGTTAGAATAATACCAATCCATACATAATTCTGTCAGTTCAGGTAATAAATTGTTAACAAGGGGTTTGCTTGTATAGGTACCTGTGTACATTGGGGCACACGTGATGGCATCATTGGGGGCAGGATTCATAGTAAGGGCAGTTTTCCATCCCATAATGGGGGGTGGAGGTGTGACAGTTCCTTCTTCTTTTTCTGGTGGGGGTGGCAATTGCCTTCAAGCTTTTTCCTTGGAATTCATCATCTCCTTCAACCTTATGTTTGTTGTTACAGCGGTTTCCACCGACACTCGAGCTGTAAGCATGGGGTCTCTCCATCCTAAAGACAATAGGGTTACACTACAGTCACACCACGGATGATACCAAGACTGACACTACCAGTGTTCCACACACAATTTCTCACATGCATTAACTGTCTTTGGTGGTGTCAGTGTGGGTGCCATCCTGGGATTAAAGTAGCATTTTTCAAGACAAAGACATAGTTCATCTCTCTTTTTAGAAATCCATATACTCGGGTCATATTCTTATAACTTACCAGGTTGGAGAGCTTGCAGGGATTGCAGTGGGAGCCACTGTCGCACTAAACATTCTTATAGCTGGGTAATTTCAACATCTACATGCACATTCCTTTTACAGTTTCTTTTTCGCCCTTACACTGTGCTTAGTTCAAAGAATTTGAAAGGGAAAAGAAAAGAAAATGAGAGAAAAATAACTTTTCTTTTTTTGAGCTCGAGTAGCCTTAACTCCTAAGTGTTGTTGCTAGAGGGTATAAATCTGTGAATCCTGCAATAGAAAGTTCTGACACTCATTAAGCCTCTACTCCTTATCTCTCAGGGAAATAACGGGAGCTTCTATGAATCCGGTGCGAACTCTTGGACCAGCAGTGGCAGCAGGAAACTACCGAGCTATTTGGGTATACTTAACTGCCCCTATCTTGGGTGCTCTTGCTGGTGCAGGTGCATATTCTGCAGTTAAACTGCCTGATGAAGATGCCCAACATCATCAAAAGGCTTCACTTGAACATCTGATCAAAACGTAATCGATCAAATCCACATAACACCTAATTCTATAATTTTTTAAAAAGAGAAGTATCTACAGAACAATGAGTGGGAACATGCCCATACATCCTTCTTTTCTCGGTACCTTGTGCTATTACATTGGATGTCTATATGGCTTATTATGGGTGTCATCATCATATTGTAATTGGGACATTGTACACGGTCATGAGAAAAAATTTATATTCATTTGATATCGAATATTGTAGCACCATAACATGGTCATGAGAAAGCAAATGTATTGATAAAACACTCGCACTAACAACAAACTTACAGACAACATAACTCTACAGACAAAATAAAGGCACATGATCATGCTCTTCCTCCTAATAAAACAATTGACTTAAGTTTTAATCCAACTGCAGATTGACAGCAAATTCATATAAGCATAAACAGAGGCCATATACGCAGCAACAATATTCATCCTCCATTTCATAGGCTTCAGCTGCATTAACCTTTCCTCTGCAAGGAGTTGGCATTCAAATCAGTCCCAACCCATCTAGGGACAATACTAAGTAACTCCATAGCAAATGTACAGATGCAGAAGAGATGATGAACATCTTCAACATTATAGCCACGGAAGCTACAGCAAGTATCTAAACTTAGAAGCTTGCTCAATCTTTGTTTAGTTTGTAATCTCCCCTTGCAAATCAGCCAATAATTGAACTGGTGCTTAGGTATCGACCACTTGTTCCAAACTATGTCACACCAAACAGGTTTACTGGATTCGCCAATCAACCATATATAACCCTTGGCAGGGGTATAATCACCATCTCTGTCCATGCCTGGAATTTGTTTCAAATCTGGATGAGCTTTTTCTAATAATAGCAGTGCACTCAAAAATAAGATCAATCCCACACAGTTCCTTGCTTAATATATCTGCTATGAACCCATCTTACCAACCAAACAGCTCACACTTCTTTTGCCCCCAAAAAGAAGTCATTTTTATCGAGTAAACTAATTTATCATGTGTTTTGCCAAAAGTTTCATGTATTTCAAAATAGCATTATAAGTGCTCAGAATTGTTTCAATGCAATACCGCAAGGAACATTACAGTCATTTTTATGTGGATGCCCCAAAGATCCACGTCAGTTTCAAGTTGATGTCACATAAGATTGTAAAGAACATACTTGGCTACCACGACATCTCCGTCCAAGAAGAGGCCTCTTTGACCAATGTTCATGCTCTTATTTTGGCAAGGTATAACTATCATAAACCACAATATGTATATCTTTTGAATTTATTTGTTGGTTTGACTAAATTTATTTCCCGCTTACGGACAAGCAGGGGCTCCCATGACGAATTAAAGGACGACGCATCACACATGTTCTCTCCATACGCAACGAACTCTTTGGAAACTATTGGGCCATGAGTGTAACCATACTTTGGATGATCGAATGAGGGCATTCGGCTAAGATTTGTCAAGTTTCCTTCCCTCTTCCCCGATTTTGTTATCTTCGAACCCACACCTCCATCTAAGGGCCGTGTTGGACCCTTGGTCCTAGACTCTGGAGGACTAAAATCCAGCACTTTGTATTTCAAGTAGTGAACAAAAGACCCTGCAGCTATGATGAACTAGAAAACAATATAGGTAAATAATCTCATACTCATGCTCTAAGATTTTTTTAAGGCCGTAACATGTGCAATCAAGAAAGCTAGCAGATGCACGTAGGCTATTTATGCTATCCAGCTTTCAACATGACCTGAATATTGCAACTAGACACAATGATGCCCCCAATCAGTTCTTATTCCAAAGATCCAGGAGTGACGTCAGAAACTAAGCAAATACGAAATTACAGGGCGATCAAACCAAGTCAAGCTCTTTATCGCCGCTCAATGGGTCAGGTCGAACTGCAAAGGAAGAGGGTTTACCCTTACCGAGACGAAGAATCAAAGCAGCAATCAGAATGCCGAAGACGTCGGCTACGGCGTCTTTTGACGAAGCACCGGCGGACTTGAAAAACCCTAGCTCGTCTGCGACCTCCTTGGCGGCACCGGCAGCGAGGGAAACGATGGACCCGACCCAGATTCTCCTGCGCCTAATAAACGGGTATCGGGCCCAACCCGCGAAGGCGGAGGTAATGACAGCGATGGAGAAGCAGAAGAGAACGTGGTAGAGCTTATCCATGGCGTACCAATCGTCGCCATTCTCCATTTCTAGATAATTGGACTAATAGCATGGTGCCTAGAGGCCGGAGGTGCTAAAAGTTTATTCTTGACCACCACATCTATGCCAAGCCCAAAAATAGACACATAAATAATTAATGTTTGTATATATTTTATATTTATTTTAAGAAAACCCCATATGTCCCTCATCCCCTTTTCGTCCTCTAAAAAAGCCAAAAAAAATTTAAAAAAAATAAATAAATAAACATCAAATAAAAATGTGTGGTGGAGAAGGGGGTGGTGTACATTTGAAGTACACCTTTTAGTGTACCCTTAACATTGCTCTTAGTTTAAATTTGGTGTAAGTAGTGTTCTCCTAACACTCCTCTTTTAAATTATAAAAAGATGCTCTCTCTTATATATTTATCTATTTTTAGATGTCATCTCTTGTCTATTTTTAGAGTGAAAATAAGATTTATGTCCTTTCTTTTCCTATATTTTCAAGTTTCAATCTCTAATTTACATTTTTCTTTTATTATACAAATAAGTAAAAATAAAATATACGCTTTCTACCTCAAATTAATCTTTTTGTTTATTTAGTTTTCAAAACAAAACATTTTTTTAGAAAACGTTACAAAAGAAAATGAAAATATTAAATATGAAATAAAGTAAAAAATAGATAACATATAATCACTCCATCTAAATTTAAAAATTTTAACTTTTATTAAAGTAAACTAATTTTTTGGGACTCTAAAAATATGAAGAACAAAAAGATGAAATAACTACCGAGTAAAAGAAAAATATTGTTTTGTGCTTTTTTCATTCTTTTCATTACCTTTTTCAATTATTTTTTTCTTTTACTTCTTTCATAATATTTTATTTCATTTTTTATTTCATTTTATTTTGTAACATCCTCCAAAAAAGATCTTTTGTTCTCAAAAATACATAAATGAAAATTTCAATTTGAGTTTAATATTTTATTTTAATTATTTGTAAAATAAAGGAAAATAAAAAAGTGGAAGTTCAAGATAGAGAAAACGAAATGGTATAAATGTAATTTTAATTCTAAAAATAAGTAAGAGGGCATTAATGCTCTATTTAGAAACCACAGAAAGTTTACAAATCATTTTTAAAACTAGAGGATGTTTTAACTCCTTTTTTTGTAAACCACGGGGAAACTCAGGCTATTAGTCTTCTAGGTAATAGAAATGGAATTCTAGAAATCATTTCTTTTATATATAAATTTGAGACTCCAATGCTTAAGAGTTTGACACGTGCCATATTAAAAACTTGACATCCTTTAATATAATATTTGAGAGTTGATAGCCTAGAATTTTGACACGTGGCAAGTTGTGGCTCTTATTTTTACGACACATCGGATTGACACGCGTCAAATTATTGGCTAAGCTCTCATTCGTCCTTCCAGTACCCGTCTTTCTCCCCCGACATCTTCGCGCAGAAAGAAGTAAAAATCCTGGACAGATTTCTCGCTGCCTTCGGTTCTCGCTGCCTTGGGTCACAGATGGAAAGAAATCACAGGTACTCCGCTACGCCTTTCCATTTTCTTCTTCGCTACCCCAAATTTTCCCTAATTTTTACCCGAAATTAGGGTTCATAAATAGCAATCTGCTTTCTTCAATTGATTGAAACAATTAAAATCGTATTTCATTCCTAATTCATTTTCGTATACCCTAATTAGATTTGAGAAATCATATACCTAATTTATATTCTATTAATAGATGTATTCTTTCTTCGTATAATTCTATCTATATATACATTCTCCTCAAGAACAACCCAGAATTCCTGACTTACGCATACTATTTCTGAGATTCTGAGATTCATATTCCTTTTTGTTTTTTCGTTCAATCCGTGACAATGACCATCCATCCACTGTCGAAGATCACTCCAAGCAGTGAATGTTGGAGGATCATGGTTCGTGTCGTGCGATTGTATACTTTACCCGCTTATAATGATGAGAGGACTACAAATTCCATTGAAATGGTGTTCATGGATGAACATGTATGTCACCTTCTCTTGATTCATAATATTCCTTCTCATTTTTTTGTTATACGTTATATTAGTTCTATCATTCTATATATGTTTTTCCGTGTGGTATTACTGGCATATTCTGAGTGTAGTTCTATTTGTTTTTTATGAATTATAAACCTGGCATATGAAAGCAGTTTGGCTTTTTTGGTTAGTGGCATTATTGGGATGTTGTTAGTGTGACATATTCTTAGTGTGGCATATTGTTAGCGTGGCTACTTTTCCAACCTTGATATTTCACTACTAGGACCTCAGCATGTCATATCATCAGCAATTTACTTGCATTCATTTGAAGTACTCTGTATATGATATTGACTAATTGTGCACTGGAAGAAAGTTTAGTTGTATTTTTAAAATATTGAAACCTTAACATGTAGTTTGTATTGTTCTTTCACTTCTTTGTATATACAGAGTTCTCCTTGAACATCAAATGTAGATTTATTTTTTTAAAAAAACTCCCACCTTAAATATGGCAAACAATGTTTTTCATAAGAATGCAGTCTGGCCAGTATTTCTGCTAAATGCAGTGTGCTATACTTGGTGCCCTCTTATAGAAGAATGAATGCTTCGTGTATTATTATATAGACACTAAGCCGTCTCTACCATCAGTTTGCTTCTACTGTGTTTGCTTAGTGTATGATTCAGATGTTTTGTTGTTTTTTTAAAATTATATTCAGATTTATTGTTCTTTTTTAAGAGGATATGTTGTTGCTGATTTTTTATGATGTTTAATTTGAACAAACAAATGTAGGGAACTACGATGCATGCCACTGTCCGGAGAAGTTTGGTTGGAACTTTTGAGAAGCGAATAAAGGAAGGGTATGTGTATGTCTTTGCCTATTTTGGCATCGGCATTAGTAGTGGAAATTATCGGACCTCTCGACATGAGTTCTGGCTGAATTTCCAACCAAGAACCACTGTAACTGCATGTAGCTGTGAGAGAATACCTGTGCATGGTCTTAAGTTGACTACTATTTCAGAAATATTGCAGGCAGACTCAAACTACCCGTATTTAGTTGGTAATAAATCACTCACTTATCCAAAATTTAATTTACTCCAATAAGTTTATGATTATATCTCACA